CGGCACACATGGCAACCCTGTCTCCACTAAACACTACCAAACTTAGCCGCCGCATCGGTGCATCTGCGCCTCGTAACCCAGCTACCCTCCAGCGAAACGTCGACCGCAGGTGAAACCTCGCGCGTTTCGAACACCCCCAGAGTTGGAATCTGCCTCTCTGCGAGGCCAAAGATGCACCACTGCACTCCATCCTGGGCGACAAGAGTGAACCTCCACTCTCAACAAAAAAAAAAAAGAAAAAAAAGAAATAGCCAAGTGAGGCTAGTAGACATAAAGAACTGTGACAGACCTGAGATGTCACCCTATTTGCAAGCCAACAGATTAGCTTGCTGGCAGATGCTGACAAAAGATAGCAGCTTCCTGGATTAGAGTCAAAAGACTTTACTCCAGCACAGCAGGCAGCCTAAGTTTCGTGTTTGCATCATTTCTACTTGTACCCCAAGTCTCATGGGCTTGCTTCATAGATGAGGAACCTCAATCTTTTACAATAATGGTCTGCAAGTGAACCTACTCAACTTTTCTCTTGGAGGGAGGCATTATCTTCATGATCCTGGAGAGTGAGCACACCTGAGCCCTGCTCTGGAAGGAGACACTGTCTCTATGTTCTATGCTCTGTGCCTCCTTAAAAAGGTAGTTCAGAAAAGAAACCTCCCTGTGCTTCTGCTTGTAAGACACACGGAAGTGCAAGAGACCCATAAAGAATTGTCTGTCAACCATGATGCTGCATTGGATACTGCAACTCCCAATTGTCTGCAGTGACTGTTCTGGGATGTTTCACATGTATTACATCATTGACCACCCCCAGATGTCTGCAGAGTTAGCCTGTCTTTTCTGTTTAGCAGGTGAAGAAATTGAGGCTCACTCCCACCCAGCTTCCTGAACTTTGAGATCGTGGATTCTCCTACCCAATACCAACTCTTTCTACTTCCCCTTGTTCCCCCAAAAAACAGAAACCTGGAATGTTTGTCCTCCTCACTCCTTTTCAAAACTTTACCCTCCAAAACTGGAATTCATTTTCTCTTCTGCCTTGTCATCTTCTTCCGATTTTCCAGAAGAGTTGCCAGTCTGACCTCCTCCCCGAAGCCTTCCTTGCGTAGCCCAACCTATGCTGAACTCCCCTGTCTCTCCTCGATCATAGAAGGTCCTATCTCATGCTCTTCACTGACAGCTCTTGAGGGCAGAGCCTGTACCTTCCCATGGCCACTCTTCCCCAACATAGCCTATCTCAGGAGTTGGGGGAAAAACAAACCAACAAATAAGAACTCAAAAAACTAAACCAGAAACAAGCAGCTATTATTTTATGCCTGGGATTGACTTCCCACTTCACTACCCACTTTCAATTCCAGTCCCCAGGGAGTGGGTGAATGGGCTTGATTCTTTCCCAGAAAGGGGAGATGTTTTGAAATGACTCAAAGAAGAGCTGATTGGATTGGATTGAGTTTTGGTAAATCCACCCACAAGAGTAGAGAAACTTGACATTTGCCTTCCGAGCCAGCAAGAGGGAGGAATCTCATTTCCTTCTAACTGAGCAGGAGGCGATGGAATGATGCCTGAGCAGGTCTCAGGAGACTGGGTTCTAGTCCAAGTTCTGAGGCTGGCTGGCTACATGACCTTGGGGAAGACACTCCCCTTTTCCAGGTCTTAGTTTCTCATCTGTGATGCAGGACTGGAGGAGGGGGAGAGGAGTCAGACTCTCCAGTTGCCCTCCCACCCTACCTTCCATTCTGGGCTTCAGTGGCTCTCCGGGCCAGGAGAGCCCAGCCTTCACTTCACAGGAACTCAGTGACGTTCTGCTCCTCCCAGCCTACTTCCTGCCACCTCCCTGAGCAGGACCAGCCTTCCCTCCTCTCCATGTACAGTGTAGACGTTGCACACTGCCTGGCTGAGGGAGCACCGACTGTAAGGCTGTGCTGAAATAGCAGCATTTGATTCTAATCCAAACTCCTCTATCTTCAGCCCTGATACATTACCTCATCATAAACAGAATTCACAGTGCCGCCATCGCTGCCTTGAAAGGTGGGCATGTTTTTCTCTGCACTCTCATTCAGTTGTTTTTAGGAAATGCCATGTAGTTCCCATACACTTGACATCTACCTGCTTTCACTACATCTGGAGAGATTCAGGAAATCAGAAAGTCCTTGTTAAGGATAAGGCCTAGGGTGGAGCTGCGATGTACTTTCCATTTGTAAAACCCAGGCAGAGGAGTCTGTGCAGGTTAAAGACACAGATAAAGAAAAACAATTGATCAAAGAACAATTGGCCCAGCTAGGGTGGAGGTTCTCCAGGCAACCAGGGAGTGGGGGGCTGGACAGAGGGAGGAAGGAAAGGAGGGAGGGAGGGTCTTCAAGGAGGGGTGTCAGGGATGGGGCAGAGAGGGAGCAGACAGTGGATCCTAATCATTACAGACACTGTGCTGAGAACTCTTATCACCTCTCACTGAATCCTTACAGCAGCCCCAGGACATGGGTATGCTCATTATCCCTGTTTTGCAGATGAGAAAACTGAAGTTCAGAGATGAAATGGCTTATCCATGGCCACTGAGCTGCAAAATTGCAGAGCCTGAGTGGGAGTCGGATCTCCTGACCACCTACTCAGTTCTTACAAATCAAACGTTTGTTGGGGGGAGATAGAATGCTTGCAAAAGGAACTCTGTGTTTGTCAGCTTTGCTGCATAACAAAATCTTCCAAGCTCAGTGACTTGCAACAAATGTTTATTTCTTGTTCATTACAAGTGAAAATGCTGTGGGTAACCTGCAGGTCAGCTGTGGCTCAGCAAAGCTCTGTGAATTTTCTCAGTTTAAGGTCCAGGGTGAAGGTAGTCGCTAACCAGGACATGCTGTCCTCTAACCAGAACTGAAAGAACTACGTAGTCAAATTTCAGCTTTCTGCTCAGAGATGGCACATGTTAGAACCGCACACACTCTGTCGACCAAAGCAAGTGACGTGGCCAAGCCCAATGTCAGTGGAGCAGGGAGGGATATTGTCTGTCCTCCCACAGTGAGAGGTGGAGGGTGCTAGAAGGGGAATAAATAGTTGCATAATACAGTTGGCTGGGCCGCACTGGGCTCTGCAGACAGATGCCTGGGTCTGACTCCTATCTCTGTCACTTAATAGTTGTGGTCATATGGCCTTCAGCAAAGTACTTGACCACACTGTGCCTCAGCTTTCTCTTCCGCAAAATGGGGATGATAATTATAGTCCTGCATTAATTTGCTAGAGCTACCATAACAAAATATCACAAACTCGGTGGCTTAAACGACAGAAATTTATTTTCTCACAGATCTGGAAGCTGGAAGCCCGAGATCAAGGTGTCCTCAGGGTTGGTTTCTGATGAGGGCTCTCTTTCTGGCTTGCAAATGGCTGCCTTCTAATTTGTCCTCACATGACTTTCTTCTGTGCATATGGTGAGAGTGCTTTCTGGCCCCTCTTTTTTTTTTTTTTAATAGGAACAGGAGTTCTAGCAGATTGTGGCCCCACCATTATGATCTCATTTAACCTTATTATCTTCCTAAAGGTCTTATCTCCAAATACAGTCATCTTGAGGGTTAAGGCATCAACATATGAATTTGGTGGGGGTGTGGGGGACAGTTCAGTCCATAGCAAGGGCCAATTCTGCAGGGCTGTTGTGATGATTTAAATGGGTTAGGATAGTGTCTGGCCTACAGGCAAGCACTGAATAAGAGCTAGGCTGCTCTTAGTGCCCTGGTGGTAGCAGGCCCCACAGTATCATGATTGGGCATTCCCTGCAATGATAATGCCTCATTTGCTTTCTTTGTCCTTTGCAACCTCTCCCAATTCCTGGCATAAATGAGGTGACCAGGAAATGGATGCTTGTGTCCCCCAGTGAATCCTGAGGCAGTTGACAGAAGGCACGCAGGGTTTGAGGTGCCCTGGGCTGCACTCGCTGCTGTGTTGCTGACCTGCTTGGTGACTTTGGTCAAGACACCGTCTTCTGCCAGCCAGGATGCATCTCATTAAGACAAAGCTTGTTTTGTCCACGAAATCTCAGCAGATTTCATTTCCCCATGCCTTTTGTGGCTATTCCTAAGTATTGGGTAGTGCTCAGAGCCAAAGTGCTAGAGATTGGGTTTTTGTTGTTGTTGTTGTTGTTTTCTTGAGATGGAGTTTCGCTCTTATGACCCAGGTTGGAGCACAGTGGCGCAATCTTGGCTCTCTGCAACCTCCGCCTCCCTGCAACCTCTGCTTCCCAGGTTCAAGCGATTCTCCTGCCTCAGCCTCCCAAGTAGCTGGGATTACAGGTGCCTGCCACCACACCTAGCTCATTTTTGTATTTTTAGTTGAGACAGGGTTTCACCATGTTGGCCAAGCTGGTCTTTGAACTCCTGACCTCAAGTGATCCGCCCACCTTGACCTTCCAAAGTGCTGGGATTACAGGCTGAGCCACTGCACTCAGCCAGAGAGATTGTTTCTTTTACAGAAATGTTCTTTTTTTTTTTTTTGAGATGGAGTCTCGCTCTGTCGCCCAGGCTGGAGTGCAGTGGCCGGATCTCAGCTCACTGCAAGCTCCGCCTCCCGGGTTTACGCCATTCTCCTGCCTCAGCCTCCCAAGTAGCTGGGACTACAGGCGCCCGCCACCTTGCCCGGCTAGTTTTTTGTATTTTTTAGTAGAGACGGGGTTTCACCGGGTTAGCCAGGATGGTCTCGATCTTCTGACCTCGTGATCCGCCCGTCTCGGCCTCCCAAAGTGCTGGGATTACAGGCTTGAGCCACCGCGCCCGGCCCAGAAATGTTCTTATAGATTCCAAATGGACAGTAATTCTCCAAACCCCCTCCCACAGCTACTGCTCCCCACCTTAAGACAGCACCTAATGACCCTGCCAGATAGGGCCAGGCTGGACAGGCATAGGAGAACTTACTCTCGCTGCCTGTGTCTGGGGCAGTTTCTGGGTTATGCCTAAGTGCACACACTTCCTTGGGGTTGGGGGTGGGTGAGAACAGCCTTTGACCTGCAAACCTGGGTTCCAGTCCCCATTCTGCCCTTGCTCCCCTTAGTCCACAAAGCTGCTCGACCTCCAAGCTTCGGTTTCCTTCTGTGGGTGATGGCGAGGCTGGAGCTACCCCAAGGGACTGTCATGGGGCTAAATAATGGATGTGAAAGGCCTTAACCCAGTGCCAGGCACACAGCAGGTCCCAGAAAAAGGATGTGCCATCCTCTCACTTTCTGTTTACCCCACCCGTCCTCATCCTTCACTGAGTGAGTGTTTTCCTGCTCTTGAGTAGCTACCCACAGACACAGAACCACCCAGGCTTAAGGCAACCTCTTGGGATTCCGTGGCAACACTGAGAAAGCCTGTGTGGATTTTTCTATCCTCGCTCGTGTTACCTTTCCCACATCTGGCCTTGCTTAGAAAGAACGATGTTTGAGGCTGTTTGTTTAGTAGAGAGCTCTGTTAGCTGAGGAGGGACAGATTAAAGGCCGTGGGGACAGCCAAGCCTGTCCAAGTCCCCTTGCCTGGTGTGGCTCAGCCCGGCAGCGTTGGGAAGGAGAGCACCAGGTGAAAGTTTTGGCGTCCTCCCAGCTCGTTGCTAATTCGTTATTTGTATGATGACTGATGCAGTGCATTTTTGACCCTCTCAGTCTCAACTTCCTCATCAGGGAAACAGGAACAAAGGTACCTTCTGTGAGATGTGCAGCATCTGGCCCAGAGTAGAAGGTGATGATGATGATGAAGATGATGATGATAGCTCAGCCCTTAGAGAGCACTGCTGACAGGCCAGGAATGCTTTAAGCACTTCATATTCATTGACCCTCTTAATCTTCTTGGCAACCCTAGGAGGTGGGCGCTATTATTCTTTTTCTTTACAGATGAGGAAACTGAGGCACAGTGAGGTTAAGTGACTCTGGGCAGGATGTACTGCCAGTGAATGACAGGGCTGGGAATTGGACCCAGGCTGTCTTGCTCCATAGCCCCCGACCCTCATCACTGCCCTCAGACCCAGGTGACATTAATTATGTCAAGCTGTGTCTCCTCCCTACAACCTTCCCTGCACTGTTGGGGAAAAGGACACAAAGAGCAGGTGTTGCTTGTTCTGAAAAGTACTTACTTTTAATTAAACTAAAAATGTCCCTTTCGTGTTGTTTCTCTAGAGAGTCAGAGGCAGGGCAGCCCCTCCCTGGGCACCTGCTCCCTCCTTCAGGCCCCCGTGGGCCTCTCGGTGTGATATTAATGTCTGAAGGCCTCCGACTCATCCATTATTGATGGGGCATGGGTACACTGTGGGGAGAGGGTGAGATTGAGGCCCAGGCAGTCTTAACAGCTCAGGAAGTTCTTTTTATCCCTGTCCCTGGTGGAAAAGTGCATTACAGGTGACAGGCGCAAAAGCAGCTGTGACCAAAGCTACTGCCAGCCGTGGGTAGGGCATGATTATCATTTGTTATTGCCCCCTACTGAGCACCCACTTCTCATTCAGGATTTAGGAAAAAAATTACAGCAATGGCAACACCACTTCTCTGATCTTGAGTCTTAGGTTCACGTCTCTCTGTTCCTTCACAAAATGCCTAGCTGTCTGTTTCCTGCCAGTTAGAAGAATATGCCAGACTCAGAACTACCTCCCGGCCCGGCCCAATGAGATCTGTGACCTGCCCCCAGCCCTGTTGTGAGTGCACACACTTCCTTGGGGTTGGGGGTGGGTGAGAACAGCCTTCGACCTGCAGACCTGGGTTCCAGTCCCCATTCTGCCCTTGCCCCCCTTAGTCCACCGAGCTGCTCGACCTCCGAGCTTCGGTTTCCTTCTGTGGGTGATGGCGAGGCTGGAGCTACCCCAAGGGACTGTCATGAGGCTAAATAATGGATGTGAAAGGCCTTAACCCAGTGCCGGGCACACAGCAGGTCCCAGAAAAAGGATGTGCCATCCTCTCACTTTCTGTTTACTCCACCTGTCCTTATCCTTCAGGGTTTCAGCAAGATCCGCTTGTCCTGGCCCTCTTTGACTCATTCCTCCCCCATTTCGGTGTTGTGCACGTTGGTTAAAACTCTTTGGGGCAGGCTCTCCAAATGTAGTATTTTTACAACAGGAAGTGGTCTTAGAGCTCATGCAGCTCAGAGCTTTCTGTTTGCAGTTTGGGACAGGAAGCTTCTGCACGAAGGTCCCCTGGCACCCGTCCAGTGCTCCTTAAGTGACTATCTTCTTTCCCCACACTGAGTGCCTTGATAGGGCTCAGAGGCTTCGCGTGAGCACTTAGCATTTACTGTGTATATCTGAGCCAAGCAGGGACAGAAACTGTCTCACCGATCCTCACGCCCTCTCCCCATGCTCAGTGTCCTGAGTATTTTCTTCTATTTTTCAGATGAAGAAACTGAGGCTCAGAGAAGTTAAGAGACTCCATTGAGGTCACACAGCCGGTAAGTGGCAGAGCTGGGATTCGAACCCAGCTCTCTTTCACTCCAGAACCTGTGCTCTAAATTGCCTTGCTTTCTTTGCCTTAAAATGGGGAGACCTGGGACTTTGTTTTCTCTTTTGATGGTGCTCACACAGATTCCTGGGTTGAAAGGAGAGGGCCCCTGGGTCCAAGAATTCAGAAGGGTGGTGGCGTTTGAGAAAAACAGCCCCATTCCCAGTGGGTGCCGTGGCTGGGACAAACCCGGAGCTTCAGCACACCCAGGTTCAGGATCGAGCCCACTGTGGCCAGCAGGGTCCTGGGTCCATTCTCCCAGGAGGGTTGCTCCGAGGCCCCAGGATCTCTAGGAACCAGACCCCTGGAACCCCACAGCAGGGCCCAGGTGCCTCTTCATGTGCTGTGTGCCTCACGTTCTGCCTCAACCACAGAGGAGCCCGGCAGGCAGGACTCAGTCTCACTCAGCACCACTCTGGATGGTTGCATAGTTACACGGTGTGGTTTGTAGTATTTTTGGTTTTGTTGTTTTTGCAAAAGCCAAAGGAAGTCTGTGGGCTGAGTTCTACCTTCCCTTCTTTGAGGATAGTTGGTCTGCTCAGTCAGGGGCAAGCAGAGCTCAGCTAGGGGAAAAAACAAAAACAAAACAAAACAAAAAAACCCTCCAAACACAAAGTTCACAGATCAGAGGGCACCTGACCTAGCCGGACAGTGGCACTGTGGCTGTTCATGGGCAGGGCTCATTGGAAGTTCCGTTACAATCATCCCATTTTCCAGATGAGGACACTGAGGCCCAGAACCAACCACACCCTCACCTCTTGGGAGGCACAACTCAGAATGAATCTTTGCTCCCTGAGTGCTGAGTGCTTTGCTGTTTCACAGCTCGCTGTCCCTGCAGTCCACACATACTCATTGAGGGCCTACTGCTGCTCCCAGCAGGCACACAGCAGTCAGGGAGTCGGTTGAACTGCCTGCCTCCTGGTGGGGGAAGACAGAGAGACAGACATTCAGTCCACTGTCAAGTGCTAGTTCCTCATGAAGGCTGTGAAGGGGAATGCCACAGAACAAGTGGCACAGACAGCGATGCTATTTTAGGGTGATCAGGCAAGGCTTCTCCAAGGAGAAGCATTTGGACAGAACCGTGAATGCAGTGGGTGAGCAAGCCATATGAATTCTGGGGTAGGAACAGTATTGGTAGAGGGAACAGCAGGTGCAAAGGCCCTGAGGCAGAGAGTATGCTTGGTGTACCATCACCCTCTTTGAGTTTGATTCTCTAGGTGTTTGCTACCCCAACCCCCACCGCCATCACAGTGGCTGCTCACCTCTAGTTTCCCTTCCTTAGTCACCTCCAAGTGTCTGCAGGAGTGTGGCAGTGGGATGGGGGTTGTGTAGCAAGAAAAATCAAACAAAATTGCATGGGGCAGAAGAAAGGTGTATAATAGGAAACTACTTGTCTTAGTCCTTAATCCTCTTTGCACAATTTCTGTCTTTGATGAAGCTTGCAATGGTTTCATCTTCTTGCTTTGTATGTATTCTCAAAATACCTTCTTTAACTAGAGCTGTGAGTTCTCAGCACACTGCAGTCCACTATGTCAGGCCCGTCTTTCCAGGCAGAGCAGGAACCCGGATTCAAAAAACCACAGAAATAGGAGAAGAAATAGTTTTGGAAACTACACTGCCGACCTTGTGCTGAGCTCAGGGAGGGAGGTGCAGCAGGCAGACAGTGGCTGGGTGGGGGTGCAGTGGCTGACAGACCTCCGGACCTCTGTCTGGGCACAGCCATTAGGCTTAGGGCCCTGTGTGCGGACTCAGGTCCCTCCTTCATCACAGGGTGGTGTTAGCACCAGCCGAGTTCCTGGGGGAGCGGTTCGTGGGGCTGGGTGTGCTGGAAGAGACATGCTGAGGAGTTAGGGGCCCCAGGTTCTCTCTGACTTTGTTTTCTGTGTTGATTTTGCTCACATAGATTTATCAGTTGATAAAAAAGAAGGGCTCCTGGGTCCAAGAACTCGGAAGAGGGGTGGTATTTGGGAAAAATAGCCCCATCCCCGTTGGGTGCCGTGGCCTGGACAATCCCAGAGCGTCCACACACCAGCGTTCAGGATTGAGCCCATTATGGCCGGCAGAGGCCCCGGTCCCCGTCCCAGGAAAGTTGCTCTGAGGCTCCAGGCTCTCTAGGAACCAGACCCCTGGGCTCCACAGCAGGGCCAGGTGCCTCTTCATGTGCTGTAGTCTCATCTGAGTGCCACCTCGGCCAGTGTACAAACTTGGGCAAGTCTCGCCCCCTCCTGGAGACTCTGAAAATGGGACAGAAAGGTGTGGTCATCTGTATGTTCCTGTGGTCTGGAAACGCTACAACCTTTTTGCCTCGAAGGCAGGTAGCAGCCAGGCATGGGGACTGGGCTTCTGTCAGCTCCCCTTTGATTCTGTAGACCTCTGGCTCTTAGCAAAGAGATGTCCTAGAAAGGGGGGCAGTACCTTGGTGATCCTGTCTTGGACATTTAGACCAGAGCTTCCGCCCATTCTCACCTCTCCTTGACCTGAGACCTGTGGCTGCAGAACCAGAAACTCATTTCCAGAAGCAGCAGAATGTCTCTGTTTCCACAGGGCTCAGAAGTATTTATTAAGCCTTCCATTAACTGCATCTTACTCAGCTGGAAAAATAATACTCAGAAAGCAATTCTGTCTGGTTTCTGGCCTGTAAGCTCCTGAAGAGTTCTTGTAAGGAAGGCTCAAAAAACGCCTGTGCTGTGTGACTCGGAGCCCAGCCCTGCAGCTTCCCTCCAAGGAGCAGGCAGCTCAGTGGTTGACCAGCAAGCCCATTATCATTCAGCACCATTGGGTAATCCATGTGTCTGCCTGTCAATTAAACAAGTGCTTAAGAGGGGCCTGGGGCCAGGGGCACATACCGAGAGTACTAAGGCTAAATAAGACACAGCGTGTGCCCTCCACAGCAGTTCAGGCGCAACATGACCACTTTCTCTATTCGGTAAAACTCAGAGAGTTCTTGACTTTATTATTCGCAGTTCAAAAGCGGCGTGAGCTTTTGTGTTGGCTCCCCTTCACCCCCTAAGTGCCATAGTGGGCATGCAGAGGGCCCATATAGATGCCTGCACATGCAATGGGTTACGATATAGGACAGGAACACCAAGCTTGGGGGATCCACCATCTTGTGACAGACAGCGAGCAAGCCAGCTTTTTGTCCCAGAGGGATACATTACCGCATGTCTCAGGATTGGTTGCTGCAAATGCAACCCAGGTACAGAGCAGTCAGAGCCTTGCATTCTTTGTCTACCCAGCAAGATGTGCAGGAATGCAAGAAACTCATGGAGGAATGTCTGCAAACAATGCATTAGCATTGCACATATCTGGATCTGAATCCTACCTCTAACAATTTAACTAAGGGTTAAATTGGGTAAATTGCAATCACTGGACTTCTCAGCCTCAGTTTCCTCTTCTATAAAATGGGGATAATGCCTACTTTCCAGGTGATTGTGAAAGAGAGTGTAGAGTCACTCCTCTGGGAATACAGTAGGGAACTAAGAAAGCCCTTGAGTTCAAGAAACTTAGTTGCTCGGGGAATCCTTTCCGCTATATGTAAGTATGCAATGTCAGTCATGTATGTGGCTCATGCCTGTAATCCCAGCACTTTGGGAGGCTGAGGCAGGCAGATCACGAGGTCAGGAGATGGAGACCATCTTGGCTAACATGGTGAAACCCTGTCTCTACTAAAAATACAAAAAATTAGCTGGGCATGGTGGCACACGCCTGTAGTCCCAGCTACTCGGGAGGCTGAAGGAGGAAAATCGCTTGAACCCAGGAGGTGGAGGTTGCAGTGAGCCAAGATCATGCCACTGCACTCCAGCCTGGGCGACAGAGCGAGACTCTATCTCAAAAAAATTAAAAAAAAAAAAAAAAAAAAGGAAAAAAGCAAAAACCGATACATATCATGGTTCAGGGACAATTTCTGCAAGGATTTGCCATTTGACCCAGCATCCTGAATTGAGTAAAGGAATGACCTTACTACCTGTGGGAAGAGCATTCTGGGCAGAACAGATAGCCTGTGCGTAGGTCCTATGCTTGGCCTGCTTGAGGGATAGCGTGGAAGATGATGCAACTCTGCAGAGTGAACAAGGAAAAGGCATGGAAAATGGAATCAGAGAGTAGTCAGGGACCAGTTCATGTAGGATCTTGCAGGCCTTGATGAGAGCCTTGGATTGCATTGTGGGTGTGGGGAGAACCCACTGGAGGCTTCAGGTAGGCGGGGGCAGGAGGAGAAAATGGCATGGAGGAGGCCGGGAGAGGCTGCAAGGTCTGGGATTTGCTTTTATCCTGCTGCTACTAACAAGTTAGCCTGTTAGTGTTTCACGGATCCTGGCAGAAGACGTGAGATTCCTGGGTCAGGAGTGTTGTAAAGTGGGAAAGATCTGACTGCTTTTTGTGCACAAAGCCTGAGCGCAGAATGAACTCTTCTGAGTTTGAAGGGGAATGATAGCTCAGTCAATACTTTCAGAAGCTGAGCCTCAGTCAACAAATAGGAATGAGATTCTTGGAACAGATTCCAGAACACAGCGTATCAGAAGGCTCTTATTCTCTTTCAGCCTCCACGTCTTACCTGCAAAATAGGGAGAACATTGCTTCCCAGGCATATTGTGGGGCCTTGTAAATAGAAATTGAATCTGAAGACTTATTCTCTGAGTTAATAAGAAACAGCAAATTCTTCCTAATAATTTATCCTTCTAGGTTTTTGATGATCCCCTTTCTTCACTGAGAAGCTATTAATGTTTCTATGTAGCTCTGGTGCACAACACACACACTCTCAGGCATGCTTGCAAAGTTTGCCTGCCAGTGTCTTCCTTGATAAAGGATGGTGTTGGTCATTTAGGGGACAAGCAGAGAGAAGAAGGTGAAAAGAGTCAGAACCCAGAGGGGCAAGAGAAAATAGCCAGGGCGGCCTCTTTTTTTCTTTTTTTCTTTTTTTCCTGATACAGAGTCTTGCTCTGACGCCCAGGCTGGTGTGCAGTGGCGTAATCTTAGCTCACTGCAACCTCCACCTCCCAGGTTCAAGTGATTCTCCTGCCTCAGCCTCCCGAGTAGCTGGGACTACAGGCGTGTGCCACCGCACCTAGCTAATTTTTTGTTTTTCTAGTAGAAACGGGGTTTCACCGTATTGGCCAGGCTGGTCTCAAACTCCTGACCTTGTGGTCCACCTGCCTGGGCCTCCCAAAGTGCTGGGATTACAGGCGTGAGCCACCGCACCCGGCCAGGGTGATTTTTCTTTAGATCATGTTTCTTCCTCCCGCCCCATGCTGTACATCTGAAGGGAGCTGAGGTTTATACGCAGTGTCCCCGACGTGCAAACTCATGTGCACCCTCTACCCACCCCAGGATGCTCAGCCAGCTGGCCAAGCTTTAGAGCTGGAATTCAGATGGCAGTCTCTAGCCAGTGCTGGGCACATTCTGCCATCCCCGTCCCTAGACCTCGTGCCTTTCCAGTCTTCATTTCTCCCAAAGACCTAAGCAGTACAGCCAGCCTTGGCAAGGCCCGCCTCTTGTCGCTGCATTGTGGGAGGAGATAAAATGGCACTTGTGTGTTTTAAAGTTGAGCAGAACAAGACGTTTTTAAAATGCTGTGTTCCCTATGTGGGAGGCCTTCTAATGGGCAGCTGGGGACAAGGCGTCCAGTCCTCCCACCCCCGGGAGGTCCCGGAAGGGACTGCAGCGTGGGATGGGAGGCACACTGCCAGCGTTGGATGCCCACCTGGTGACCAGTTCAGACAGAACTGGGACAGAGCTGCCTCCTGCACCTCTGGCCATGAGGGTGTTTGGACATTCCCAGCAGTCATTCAGCATAGCTCCCTTTACCTCTCCTGTCAGAGTTGCCTCCTCATTGGACAGAGGGTGAGGAGGACTCGTGATCACTTTGTGAGGAGGGTGGGCAGAGTAGGGCTGAGTGGAGGTGAACTCCCCCTGCCGCATGAACGCTCCCCCAGGTGGGACTTGGCGCCATCCAGAGAGACCAGCTGAGGCTGAAAGGTAGATTCTTAGAATGAAGAGCTGGGCCTCTGGAGCCGGGCTGCTTGGATCACCTTTTATCTTACTCTATTTTTTTGAGACAGAGTTGCACTCTGTCACCCAGGCTGAAGTGCAGTGCTACGATCTCGGCTCACTGCAACCTCCACCTCCCGGGTTCAAGCAATTCTCATGCCTCAGCCTCCCAAGTATCTGGGATTATAGGCATGTGCCACCACGCCCAGATAATTTTGTATTTTTAGTAGAGACAGGGTTTCACCATGTTGGCCAGCCTGGTCTCAAACTCCTGACCTCAAGTGATCCACCCGCCGCAGCCTCCCAAAGTGCTGGGATTACAGGCATGAGCCACCACGCCTAGCCTCATTTCTTCACTTTGAAAGAGAACATATCACCCCCTTGGTAAAGCTGTTGAGGTCAAACAAGCAACCTGAGAGAAGTGCTGACTTGGTGCCTGGTGCAGACTTGGTGCACTTTAGGGACAGGACCCAGTGCTTTCTTCCCCAGCCATCTCCAGGACTCATGAGCTGAGGGCACACTTGGGGAGACATCAATACTAGTATCTCACTCTCTCCATAGTCCACGCCTCCTGTCCCCCAGGGACAGGCTCTGGGAATGCCTCCTGTTCAGAACGGGCCCCTGCTCTCCTATCTGCTTGCTGGGCCTCTGCAGGCCCAAGCTGCCCAGTGTCCTCTCGTATCTTCCATCCCGAGCCTCACCAGGACCGCCACGCTTCAGCTGCTCTGAACATGCCCTGGACCCGTGGTGCCCATCCTTGCCCATCTGCTCCGGCCACCCGTGGACAGCTCTCGGTCCTCCCGGTGGACAGCTTGGCAGTCCCTTGTCAAGAGGGCAAGGTCTCCCTCCTTTCCTGACTACTGGGCCCTTTCTGATGAGAGCTACCCTTCCTCTCCTGAGGCCCAGGGATGGGTGTGCAGCTGGGCCTGGGCCAGGGCAGTTAGTCCTGTGATCCAACTGGACACCGTGACACCCCTCCAACCTTCAGTGTCTGGGGATGGGATGGTTCATGCCAAATGCCTGCTGTCGCCTGACGTTCCCACCCATCCCAGAACCCTGGAGGGTGCTGCGCGCCTCACCATCGCCGCAGCTGGGTTTATAATGTGATCTTAATCCCCGTTGTGAACACCGCTAGAGGTTGCCCCTCAGCTCCCTCAGGCGCCTCCTGGATGCCCCTGAAAATCAGTAGCGTTAAAATATTTCCATGAAGTCAGGGACTAGGGAGGAAGGGGCCTCTTTAAGCCACATGTCAGATTGTGAATCTCAGCTCCAGAGCGGCCACACCCCCAGCCCTTCCTTTATGCTGAGGGTTTTAGAACCAGCGACAGATGCCTGAGGGCAGGTGCAAGGGGCATTAGGAACTCTGAATTGTTTCTTTTTTATCAGCCTCCTGCACCACCCAAATGGGGAGAAATCCTTTGTTCTGGGACAGGTGTGAGCCTGAGTGCCCTATGGTGCAACCGCTTGAATTCCTAGCCACATTACACGCTTCTAATGTCATTTGGATGTCCTGGGACTCCAAATTTAGCACTCCTCAATCCACACACATAAGAAGATTTGTGGATTTAAATTCTTTTTGTGAGGCTGTGAATATGAAAACATATTCGCCTCCTTCTCATGTGATCCTAATCCTGGTTAATCGTGTTTCTCTGGGGCACTTCTCCACACTGCCTACTCTGAGCCACTATTTGTGCTTCAGGGGAATCTTTTTATTTCCCCCAAGTTCCCCAGCAAAGGAACAAACAGGAGGCACCAAGGTGCAAAGAGGAAGATTTGGAAGCACATCGAAGGGTTCTCCCAACCTGCTGGCACTGCTGGGCTGTGGGGGAAATGGGCAGGCGTTGATGCAGAAAGGAGCAGGGAAACAGAGGCTCCAAAGGAAACAGGCTTCCCAAGTCACAGACTGGGCCACTCTCTCAACTCCCACAGGGTGTCCCGTGCACCCCTCTCCAGTTCAGCCACCATGTGCCAGTTGCAATCACTGCTGTCTGTTGCTCACAAGCCAGCCGGGCACCCCCTTGCCTTCAGTCCCCAAGTCCGTGTTCCTCAGGACTTCCATGATCCAACTCCACCCACAGCAGCCACTCTGAAGGACATCCTGTTTGCTGAAACATACCGATGTCTCCATCATCACCACCATGTGCTTTTTTGGGCACAGGCCTGGTTTACCCTCCCCTTCTGCCCTCCTCTGTCAGTGCTAAGCCTCCTGCCTCCATGGCCACCTGCCTTACACAGCCTTCCTTCTCCCTTGGGTTGTCATTCACCTGCCACTTGTGGATCGCTACGGCCCTTGGCGTCATGTCCTGGGAGGCACTGGTCCCTCATGAGCAGATTTCTATGTGTGAACTGCCCTGGGCTGGATCCTGGAGCCGGCCTAGTCTGTGGCTTCGCTATCTAGCAGTGAAGATACGCATGCTGCCAGCTATGTTCTTGAAGCATCGCAGGCATGCTTGGATAGCTGGGTGAGAGGTACAGAAGTGAAGCATGGAAGAGCAGGCTCAGGAATCAGCCCTCACCCCTTCCTAGCCACATGACTTGGAGTAAGCTACTGATGCCCAAGGGCCTCAGCATCCCCTTCTGTAAAATGGGATTATGGCATCACCTCCCTCATAGGACCTGGAACTGTACTCTAGCTAGTCCCTAAAATACTGCGTAGTCTCTCAAAGCCCAACTTCCTTCTCTGCCCAAAGAACAAATGCCTGCCCAAAGAGCCCCTGGGGACTTTAGCCAGGCATCCGCACAAAAGAAATGTGTGAGCTACGGATGGGTCAGGCACGCACAGATAAGGTGGGGAGGCAGGAGATAGGGAGAAGGAGAGCGGACCAGAGGCCCGGATCGAGTTAGAGATATTCCATGGGCTTTTGTCTGCAGAATTATCAAACAATGAGGATTCTTTGATATTTAAGCCCGGCAGGAGTCGGAGAACAACAGGAGAGGACCCAGCAGATCAAACTCCCAGAGGGGCCTGGGAGTGGGCAGGGAGTGGGCGGTGGTCAAGCCACAGGCACTGATTGGAGCAGCCTTGGGCGGGCTAAGGGGACCTTGCCCTCTGGCTCTACTGGTGTTGACTACATTTCTGTGGGAGGGGCTGGTGCTGTCATCAGGGAGCCTAGGGGACAGGGTGCTTGGGGTGTCCCCCTGGTCGGACCTGGAATGTGTTGAGCTTGGCTGAGTGGTCCAAGGGTTCCCCTGGTGCCATCCCTGCCAAAGATCCTATCAGTGTCATGAGCCTGATGACGAAATCTCCCCATGGGTGAGTGCCCCAGCAGCAGCTGGATCAGAGTTTGGGCAGATTCTAGCGAGAGCAGCTACCCAAGGTGGAGGCGAGGCCAGAGCTCAGGGCATCCAGCTGACTCATGCGCTTCTTGCAAATCCTCTGAGGTGGCCAGCGCCTCAGAGGGGTCTCCGGGGTGGGGCTGGAGGCATGGCTTTCTGTGGAGCAGAGCTCCTGGGGCACTCATTGCTTAGAGAACGTTGTCAGCTGTGCCCCTTGGAGTTAGGTCTGTGGGGTCACCTGGACTGGTCATGGTGCTGGCAGGACACAGATGGTGCATTAAAAGTGGGCAGTGGAGGGGAGCTGAGTTGAAAGGTTATTCACAAAGTCATAGTGTGGTGTGGGAAACAGCAAAGATGGTGCAGTCCCTGGGACTGGAAATGGTGGGGCTGTTTCCAGCCCTAGGGCTGAAGGGACAAGAGGACAGAGACTTACTGAAACCCCCAGGACACAGCTAATGTGTGGATGGGGCCATTCGACAGAAGCAAGAGACCACCAGCCCTTGGTTGTCCAACAGGGAGGGCACCAAGGCAGTCACTGCCTGTCCCCAGTCCCCTCTCTCCCTCGGGCCTTCCTCCAGGGCTTCATGTGGCTCCCAGAAGGTTTGTCCAGACCTCATCGGGCCACCAGATCTTGCCTGGCCCACCCCTGCCTGCCAGTGCTGCTGCAGTCTTACAAATCCACTTGATTTTGTTTCTTTCAGTTCCTTGGACTCACCTACTGTCCCCACAGCCCTTCACACCTGTAGCTTCCCCTGCCTGGCAGGCTGTCACACTCACTGCCCAATCACCTGTCCACCCTGTGGACCCTCAGTCACTACCACTTCCCCCAGACACCCGCCTGTCCCTCCCACGCCCTCTGCTTTGTGGCACTGAAGGCTGCCACTCAGGGCTCTCCAGGAGAGCAGAGCCTATCCCATATTTGTGTATGCACGTTAAGAGATTCAACTTTCGAAACTGGCTCAGGCAGCTGCGGAGGCTGCCAGGTTCAAAACCTGGTGGGCAAGCCAGACGGCTGGAATCTCAGGCAGGACTTGATTTCTCTGTTACAATCTTGAGGCAGAATTTCGTCTTTTCCAGGGAACCTCAGTTTTTGCCCTTCAGGCCTTAAACTGACTGGATGAGGCCCACCTACATTCATCTCCTTTACTTAAAGTTAACTGATTGTGGAGCTTAACCACATCTGCATGCTACCTTCCCTGAAACACCTAGAGTGTCTGACCAAACTCCTGGACACCATGGCCTAGCCAAGCTGGCTCATTACATTTATTTATTTACTTAGAGATAAGTCTCACTCCCCCAGGCTGGAGTATGATCATAGCTCATTGCAGCCTTGAATTCCCGAGCTCAAGTGATCCTCCTGCCTCAGGCTCCACATAGCTGGGATGGCAGGTATAAGCCACATGCCTGCTGATAAATCTAACCATCACAGCTGGTCTTTTGTGTGATTCCTTAATAATCTCAGCCTCTGTCCTGCCCTGTGATGTTGTTTTCAGTGAGCAAGGATGAAAATCATTCTATTTTTCTCTCTCTTGTTTTTTTTTTCAACCAAGTCTCGCTCTGTTGCCCAGGCTAGAATGCAGTGGCACAATCTCAGCTCACTGCAACCTTTGCCTCCCGGGTTCAAGCAATTCTTCTGCCTCAGCCTGCTGAGTAGCTGGGACTACAGGCATCCGCCACCACACCCAGCTAATTTTTTTTAGTTTTAGAGATGGAGTTTCACCATGTTGACCAGGCTGGTCTCAAACTCCTCACCTCAAGGGATCCACACTCCTCAGCCTCCCAAAGTGCTGGGATTACAGGCATGAGCCACCGCACCCGGCCATTCTACTTTGTCTAACCATTGTTTTGTTCAGCACTTAACAGTAACTGCTAGACAGCTGATGCCCAGTGAGTAACTGTCAAATGAAAGAATGAAAGCAAGAGAGAGAATCCACAAAGGGGCTTGGCAGTGTCCAGGTCAGAGATGTTGCCAAGACAAAGTGAGATGCTGTATGTCAAGTGTCTGCATGTAGTAGGTGTGAAACTCACACATGCTATTTCTTCTTCATTTTCAACCCCGCCAGCCACTATCCACACACACACACATGCAGTTCTGAATTTCTCAGAGGAATGATGATCCCGGGTAGGTGACATTTTCCTAATATTAATATTAATGTTGAATATTCTTTTGTGATGGTTGGGAATTGTTCTAAGCACTATATACATACATACATATATATATATATGTATATGCCAATAGTATTGATTCCAATGTGTGTTAAATATTCAAGATTATTAGTAATATGATTGTACGGCATGGTGGCTCACGCCTGTAATCCCAGAACTTTGGGAGGCAGAGGTGGGCAGATCACAAGGTCAGGAGTTCGAGACCAGCCTGGCCAACATAGTGAGACCACGTCTCTACTGAAAATACAAAAATGAGCCAGGCACGGTGGTGCACATCTGTAGTTCCAGCTACGCGGGAGGGCGAGGCAGGAGAATCGCTTGAACCCGGGAGGCAGAGGTTATGGTGAGCCAAGATCACGCCACTGTACTCCAGTCTGGGTGACAGAACGAGACTCCATCTAAAAAAAAAAAAAGAAAAAGAAAAAGAAAAAAAGAAAGAAAGACAGTGACTCTCAGGACTAACCAATATTCATTAATTTGTTCAATTAGCCGAGTCTAGGTGAGCAGGGGCTGGGATCATTGTCACATTTTACAGATGAAGAGCTGACTGACCTTGGCTCCTGAGGTGGCCCCAGTCACGCTGTGCTCCATGGCTGCTGTCCCCAGAGACTTGGGGTGGGTGTTCCCTCCTCTCCTGGGAGGCGCAGGCAGCCTCAGGGCAGCACAGTTGCTGACTGGCTTCATTTGAGACTGATTTTTTTAATCGATAGAAAGAGAGGAATGTCTACCCCAGTCCTGCCATTGACAGGGAGCTTGTCATCACCTGTTTACCTTGCAGTGGCCAGGGCCTCCTCTCAAGCCTCACCTCACTGTGGTCCTGTTTCTCTTGGATGATGTTCTCTGGAGGGAAATGGGTCTGGCTTCCCTCACGGCTGATCCTTCCTGACCCGGGGGAGGAGAGCGGCATCGAGTGGGTCCAGGCCTGGCTCGGCCATGAGAGCACAGCTGCCAGCTTCAGGGGTGACTCAGCGGGTGGAGCTGAGCTGCAAGGAGAAAACAAAACAAGGGAAAGGAAGGCTCACGCTTGCCCCTGCCAGGCCCTGAGCTGCGTCACACGCAAAGCCCGCCCAGTGCTCGCACTGCCACCGTGGAGTGGGGATAGGCTGGTCCCTCTTCCACAGCTCAGACACCAAGGAGACCCAGGGCAGGGGCGGACCTCAGCCTGGCACCATCCACTTCATACCAGCAGGTGTGAAGTTGGGATTCTGCATCAGCCGTAATCCTGACTTTACACCTACCGGCCGAGGGCCTTGGGTAGGTGGCTTGACCACTGCAGGCCTCTGTCCCAGCTCTGAAAGCTGGAGATAATACCCAGTACCCTCATCGGGAGCTTGTTGTGGGCCCAGCCAATGTGCACCGGTATTGTGCTTAGAACAGGGTGTAGAAAAGACAAAGGTGATGATAGGTGTCCTCAGTGTTGACACATTACTGCCCTATGCAGTCACCTCAAGTAGGGATGGTTTCTAAACCCCGCTTTATAGATGAGGAACTTGAAGCTCAGCAGCCCATGTAACTTCCTGGGGGTCACCGCAAACAGACCTCGACCCCTTGTGGCAACAGCTAAACCAACTCCTGACCTTCTCTCCTCCCCAAAGCTCCACCCTCTCTCTCTTTTCAGTTGCAGCCCATGACACCTCCTAAGATCCTGGCCCTGGGAATGGGAAGAACACCCACTCCAGGGCAGCCACCCTGTAGAATACAGCAGGTTCTGTCTAAGGAGTCAAGCGTGTCTTGGGACTTGGGCATCTGGTTTTCTTTAGCCCCTGGTGCACTTTTCCCGTGTATCCTTGGAAAAGTCCCTTCCCATTTCTGAGCTCAGCTTCCACATCTGTGGAATGAAGTGAGGCAGCAGCTTGAAGCGTAAGGATTTGATTCAGGGATCCAAGTGCTTATAAAGTTCTGAGAAGGGCAATGAGAATGGGGGCCCTCCAGGGTTTGGGCTGCAATGCTTCAGGTTGAGGCCCATAGGCCACGAAACTTCAGGAAGTCAGGACAGAATCTGCAGCTGCCCCACTGCCTGGAAGTGGAAGAAGGCAGGTTCTGGAGTCCAGATTCTGGGGCAGCCACACAGCAGCTTCTACCACTGCCGGAGGGAGGAAGGCTCTTGCCTCGCCCACCTGCCGTCCCAACTATCACTGCTCAGATCTCAACCATTTCCAGAGCACTGTGGACAGGGATGCTGGGAAATGTAGTTCCCAGGCTTCCAGCCCCTGCAGTCAGGGGAAGCACACAGCGGGTGGGAACAAGCCCTCACTCCTGTAGACAGTGGCCAGCATAGGAACCCCTGCTGCAACAAGAAACAGGGTGCCCTGAGAACCCTCAAATGCAGGCAGGATTGCTGCAACTCTCAATAGGATATTTGAGCCATGTGGCTTGCAGATACCACTCTAGTTTCTAGCCTTATTCGTTGATGATAGCTATACGTTTGCTGAGTTCTTAAATGTTTCTGAACAGTCTCCCGTCATGATTCCCTGTGTGTGATACCCAGGGAGCAGGGAGGGTTAAGGATATCAGCAAAGAGAAGGCCTCATCACCCAGGGTCAGCGGTATCAGGTCAGGAGTACCCCTTAGCTGCAGGGGGATGGACAGGTGGCAGGAATCCTGGGGCAGGGGTGGGCTTGCTAAAGCCCAGGAAGGCTTCTAACCAGGCGCCTCCAGCTCTGACTCACTTGGCCCAGGTTTCTTATTAGGCAGATTCTCTGAATGAGGGATTAAAGTGGAGGTCAGACACACCCCCTTGTATTAACACAGGGGCACAAGGGACTGCACTGGGAGAGTTCCATATGGAAGTTCCACACACTCAGCTTCCAGGGACTGCATCTTCTTCCTGGGGACCCGTGCTGAGCACAGAGTATGTAGGAAAGGAGGGAAGGAAGGAGGGAGGAAAGAAACGTTTAGACATTGATCCCAAAGATACAAAAGACCTGGTCCAAGTTGGCTCTGCCATCTGGTTGTTTTAACTCAATCCAGGCACCTGCCCTCTGTCAGCCTCAGTTTCCTTGTCTGCAAGTTGACAGTGAAGGTAACTCCCATGTATTGAGCATCTGTTAAATGTGAAGCATTTATGTACTTAATCCTCATGTGTCCCTTTGAAGAGATGGGATTTTCCCCCATCTTGCTGGTGCAGGCCCTGAGCCCGATGAGGTAGATGAGGTCCCTACCCAAGACCTCTCAGCTAGGAGGTCGGAGATTCAGGATTCAAACCCAGATCTGGCTGACGCCCCAATACCCGTATTCTGTTCACCACCCAGTGAGTGGGGCTGCTGAAAGGGTCAAATGGATGGCAGCTGTGACTGTTTTGGCAAACTATAAAAAACAATGCAAAACAAATGAGATGACCCCCAATTCAAGACTGGCAGTCGGAGGCTGTGAGGGTGGCCAGGCTTTCCTGCGGATGTGTAAATCGTGGATACTTTAGAAGACAATGCATCTGCGTTTCCAAGCATGTGGGAAAAAAGACTGATTGGAGAGTGGAAAATTGGAGCTATCAGAGCAACTTTGAGGAACCTTTTCCTGGGGAAGGTCAAAGCTGGTTGCAAACTCAGGTGGGCCTGACTCTGTACATAAGGCTCTGGGACAGCTGCCTCCTGACCTGAGGCATGACTTTTGCAGAGTCCTCTGGGTCTGGGAGCCTCTGGGAACCCTGACCTTTCCCCCAGTATATTAGGAGCTCCTTCCTGCAGGTCCTGGGAGGTCTTGGCCACAGGAGTAGAAAGCATGAAGATTTAGCTGTTCAGCACATCAAGGAATTCACACAAATAATGAATTCAGCGAGAATCATCATTTGTGTAATACCACTGGTTTGCATGATTTGATGCCTGATTTCATTTGGTTTTAAACAACGCTGCCAGTGGGACGGACCAAGGGTTCCGCTGGACTTTCTCCTTTTTGTTTACAAATGAGGACTTTGAAGCTTAGTGGGGAGAGACAGAATTGACCTTTGTGGTCATCTACGCTGTGGCAGGAACTGAGCTGGTCACTTTTGTGCAAGGCCTTTTATCTCCCAGCAACCCTTCGTGTGAGCATTTTTGTTTGTTTGTTTTTTTGAGACGAAGTCTCACTTTGTCAGCCAGGCTGGAGTGCAGTGGTGCGATCTGGGCTTACTGCAACCTCCACTTCTCAGGTTGAAGTGATTGTCCTGCCTTAGCCTCCCAAGTAGCTAGGATTACAGGCACCCACCACACCCGGCTAATTTTTGTATTTTTAGTAGACACAGGGTTTCACCATGTTGGCCAGGCTGGTCTCGAACTCCTGACCTCAGGTGATCCACCCACCTCGGCCTCCCAAAGTGCTGGGATTACAGGCGTGAGCCACCATGCCTGGCCTGCGTGAGCATTTTTAATCCTATTTTGTAGATTCAGGAATTGAGGATCAGAGAGGGCAAGTGCCTTGCCCATGAACACACATCCAG